AGAGTACTGACCTTTTTTTATTAGTCTTGTTTATTAGTTGAAAAGGCAAGCATGTTTTGCAGATTAGGTAACTAGAACAGAACAGGAATCAGAGAGGACACCTTTTGGTGATAATAGTTTGAAAAGATAGATATGACTATTAGCATGTCACATGAAGCAGCAGTAGGACATGTTCGCTTTATACTGTATCTCAACGAACTGCAAGAAGAATAAGCACTAATGTGATCAATTCCAGATAATTCAAAACTGCAGGGGGCAATAAAATTCAAATTTATATGGATGGACTAGGAACATAGAGAGAAATCACTATGCAGTTCAGTGCAGATAAATTAATGAAGCTGGGAACAAAATTAATCACATTCATTTCAATTAATACATTTTATAAAGTTATTGAAAATTTTCCATAACATCAGTTTGGCAAACAGTTTTAAAGGACATAACAGATTGCTGTTACAGACTACTGTGTTTATGAACCATAAATAAAAAACAATTACTATGTTTAATCAGATTTAATATAGATCTAGAATGTATAAACAACTGTAAGCACAAATAGGAAAATCCTACTTTTCAAGCTGCTGCAACAATACGGGTGACCACTGTGATGAGAAAAAAAGACACATCTAATAAGTTTTCTTTCTAAGTTTCATTGCTGGAGAACCACCCTAGAATTCTTTTATTATAGTACACAGAGGCAACCAGTTACTGTTATGAGATAATCTGAGATTACACAATTTGTAATCCTGTAAAATTATGGAATTAATTTTTGCTATCAGATTAATCAAAGGCTCAGCTATTCTTTATATGTTCTGTGAAGACTTCACAACATTATCTACTACTTCTGTAGCAAAGGACTGGCTAAGGAGAGAGCACCCCACTCAGCGGCTTGTAGTGCTCTCTGCAAAGGTTTTCTTTTTAGAGATTTTGTTAGAATGAGTAAGAGAAATAGGTGAGTTTTAAAGAAGTGCAATGAAACAGAGCTTTTGAAGGTGAATATAGGATACAGCAATGTAAGTAAATTTAAGATAGGAATGCTTTACCATTTCCATGGGTGCTCTTATAAGGGCATTCTATTATTTTTACCAAGGTAGTATGCTAAAACTTCAATATGTTACATTGTTCAACTTGGAATAAGTTGTGACTAAGTAGAAAAAAAAGTCACCTTAACACGCAGAACAACTTTACATCTTAAGAAATGAGCTGTTTCGTCTTTGAAAATTTTGATAACATGCTATGTTGCATAACAGTAGCGTTACAATGTTATGAAGCTTTCTTAAATCAAGAGAACACAGTATACCAAGCTTACTGTTGGTTGTTGTTTGATTTAAACATACATGTTTCTGACATCCAATTACATATTCATTAGCTACATGTGTGTAAAAAAGCAGAAAATTAGTTGAAGATAAAGAGGGAGTTCAGGAAGTGCTTTAATAGGCTATTCTTTAAATTGATATTACAAAACCCATCATATATCTGCTATGCTGAGGTTACAACTTGTTTGTTGTTATAAGTCAGTCTGATTTTATCAACAGTTTGCTTACATTGCGTATGCATAGTAAACGGCTCCCTAAGACGTACAAGGCTACTTAAAAACACAAGTCTAACAAATTTAATAGAATTAAACTTAAATTGGACACCAGACAGACATA